TCGGATTCTCTCTCTCCTTCGCTCTCTCTCTGCCCCTCCCCCACAGGCATGCTCTGTCTCTCTCCAAGTAGATAAACTTAAGGAAAAAAAAAGTAGGGGCTTCAGGCACATGACACTGGCTTCCGATCTCAGCTCTGCCTCCCATCCATCCACCTGTGAGATCCGATGCAAACAAGTGGCCTCTGCGGCCCTAGCTGTTTGATGTGCACAGTACTGCCTTCCCCAGAGCAGGCTCTCGCAGGGGTTTTTAGCAGCTAACGGATGGGACGCATCCTCCTTCCTAACAGTAAAAACAAGCTAGTGTAGGAGGGTTCACCTCAGGCCCACTGGACCCCTTCCTCCCCAAATCCCCTTCCCTTTGGGGTTCTTGCTAATTGCAGCGTCCCCTCGGCATCATTACAAGCTGAGGGTTGAGGCTCCCTCCCCTGTGAACAGATGCTCAGCTCCAAACCTGGACAACGTTCTTTACAACTCGAGCAACAGTTGGATCTTTCAGCAAGACATCACCAGGGACTTGGGGTCACAAAAAGCAGGTGAACCCGGAGCATAACCGGAGAGCAGGTCACAGACTACAGCTGGCTCGCTGTCTGGGATGGGGGGCCTTGTTCTGTACCTCCAGGCCTTCTCTCTCTCCAGCTCTGACCAACAGAGGCAGCAGCAACCGTCCTTCAGTGAGGGCGCGCCACGCCCCAGGCTCCGCACCAAGCACCGTGCGTGGACCACAAGGGAGAGTCCGCCCTTGCAATAATGTCCTCGACCCTGGTTAAGAATGACTTGGTGACGCCATTGAGTGGTGCTGGGGCCCCCGGAGGCCGGGCCCAAGCGGTGCAGAGCTGAGCACAAGCTGTCAGGAGAAGAGAAACTCCCCCTTCTGCCCTCCCGCTGGAGAGGCAAAAGCCGGACCAACACCGCTTGTGGCCCCTTGACACTGACGTCTTCTGGGAGTGGCTAACCTGGGCTCCTGCTCTGCAGATTCTCGCAAAAGAGCAGACGAGTTCTTCAGCGGATGCAGACAGAAGGTTTTCTGGTCTCCTGCTGGAGGCAGTGGTGACCAAGGTTGACCCCTGGACGGGATGAGCATCCCCTGAGAGATGGCGCCCATGGCCGGAGGATGGGAGAAAGGATAGCAGGATGGGGGCGGAGAGACAATGAACTTAGGCATGAAAGGAATGTGACTTCATTCTGTGCCCCAGGCTGGGAAGCCAGATCCTGCTGGTTTCTCATACATCCACGACGCCTCCCTTCCAAGCCCAGAGTCACCTCCACGCCTGGCCCAGGGTGAGAATCTCGATAAAGACCCAACCTGCCCTCCCCGTCCCTTCCTCTCCGGCTGCTGGTAAGAATGCACAGGGAGCGAAAACAGACTCTCAGAAGCAAAGACGCAAGAGGCTCACTACTCCCTCTCCCGCCACATTCCTGAAGCTTCTCCGGGACCACGTTTCTGGCAGCACAGAGCTCAAAGGACTGACCATGGTGCTGGCACACTGTTCCTGGGGTATAACCAGCCCAACCACTTGCCAACCACACCAAAGCTCAGCCCACGCTCACGTCCCTTTCGGAGATAGACCACCGTGAGAAATGAAGCCCACGAAAGCTGACCAACCAGGAGAAAAGGAACCCCGTCTGGGTAGATTCGGGTTTGCAGTCTGATCTAATCCCCTGAAAGAACAAGATGCTTCATAAGAAAACGGGCAAGTATTTTACTCGGGGCCATTTGTGCGACTCCTGGGTTCAAACCCTACAAAGATCCTCAAGGACTTCAAAGTTCGCCCATAAAACTTTCCCCAGCCCTAAGAGTCTTTTTCACCTGAAATGTAAACTCTTGTCATCCCACTGATGAAAAGATCCCAGGTCCAAGTGACTCCTTTAAAAGGTCCCACTTTAGGGGGCGCCTGGGTGGCGCAGTCGGTTACGCGTCCGACTTCAGCCAGGTCACGATCTCGCGGTCCGTGAGTTCGAGCCCCGCGTCGGGCTCTGGGCTGATGGCTCAGAGCCTGGAGCCTGTTTCCAATTCTGTGTCTCCCTCTCTCTCTGCCCCTCCCCCGTTCATGCTCTGTCTCTCTCTGTCCCAAAAATAAATAAACGTTGAA